AGCCGAAGTTGGACGCTTAACCGACTGAGCCCCCCAGGCGCCCCCATCTAACATGTTTCCACAGTTTGTTGTGAGCAGTAAAGGTGGGCTGACCTCTGAGACTCAGCCAGGGGATGCTGCTTTGGCCCCTCTCAGTGGTCTGAGGGCGGGGAGAGCTCAGGGAAGGGGAACCAGCAGCCTGGGAGTCCTCTGGATGCCCAGGGAAGACCCCCCCTCTGTCGGAAGGGAGACTAGTGGGCCAGAAGTGTGTTGGAGATGGGAGAGTGGCGGATGGTCTTAGCTGAGGGAGGGAAATGTGGTAGAACTCAGATCGACCTTACGTGGGGCCTGGGGTCATCGGTGCTGGGCTGGGCAACTTCCAGGCCTCTGGATAAAGCCTAACTTCCGAACGGCAGTTTTCAGTGGGGGGCCGCTTTCGCCTCCCGGGGCCTTTTGGCAATTTGTGGAGGTATCTTTGCCATCTGGTAGGGAGGGGCCCAGGATGCTGCTTGGCATCCTGTAATGCACAGAACAATGCACAGAAGAGCTCCCCAGTGAATCCTCTGGTCCCAGTGTCGGTGGTGCCGGGTCGGGAATCAGGGTCGGTGATGAAAATTTGGGGTGGGTTGATGGGTCCACTCATACATGACGGGACAGGACTCCCACCCAGCTCGATGGTCAACGCTTCAAATAGCTCTTCCCCTGCAGGTGGTGTTGGGGCTTCTGGAACAGGATTTAATCCGTGGTCAGTTTACTTAGGGTAATACCCAGGCTACCCAGACATTAATCCGATCCCCTTTTGGATGTCTCAAGGTCATTGTCATTAGTCAAGACAACTCTTGTTTTGGGCTACAGAATGTGGAAGTCCTCAGGGGTCATCGATGGGTATGGAGTTGTAAGCTCTGCACTAAATATCCCCAAAGTTCTTATGTTGGGTTCTTTTTAGCGTCCTCGTTTCTCCCTGCCATTTGATGCTTCTTGCCACTATCCACATGCCTTTTTTCTTTCTCCTTTTAATTTTGTTGATTTTATTCTGTGGTGGCCTTGGGAACCAGACATCCAGAAACCGGGCTTGCTGGAGCCATGCTGCTGTGAACCGTCTGTGTTCTTCCTGTGCCGAATGTCCCCGCGCCTTGTGAGGAAAGCGCTAGAATTTGACCACGCATGGGTACAGTGACAGCTGTTCTGATGTTCGGGGGCTTCTGTTCCTCTGCTTCCTGGTCCTCGGTCGGGTTCCACATTGCCGAGATAACAGATGACTGAGGCCATCTTCATCACTGTCAGAGTAATAACTATCACAAGCGGGGCCTGGGTTTCTGTGTTCCAGGCCTTATCTTAACTGCTTGGCTTCTAACATGCTCTCAACAGTCTTGCGAGGTGGGAGCTGTTAGGATCCGACAATTGAGTTAAGAAAACGGAGGCACAGAGAGGTTATGTGTGCAGGAGAAATACAGCTGGCATAAAAAATGGGGGAGCTGGGATTCGACCCTACCAAGTAGTGCTCCCTAGTCTGGAGATAATGTGCAGGGTTTCTGAAGGAAACCGCTGTAGCTGGTGGGGACACCTGGGCCAGGTGGCAGGTGCCTGGTCTCCTGGAGCCTTCTGGAGCATGCTCCGTGAGAGCAGGTGCCAGTTCCCCATGGCACTCATGAGTGTCCCCATCCCTTAGTTGGCAAGTGAGAGTGAATGCCACAGCTTTCGCACAGGGCAGGGTCTGCTCTTTCTACCGTGAACACTGGTCAGGACAGGGGCCATCTGAGCCCGCCACGCTGAATTCTGAGAGGACAACCAGGTTCTAAGTGCCTCACCTGAAACTCTTGGGTAGAAATATTTTAGGAGCCATGCAGTCATGTTATCAGGGCTGTAAGTTTTTGAAGGCACGAAAAAGGGGAAGAAAAAATGGGCCAAATTGGTTTAGAAACATCCCCTCCACATCTGTAGGTCTTGTTGGGACCTGAAGGGGGACCACTCAGGGGGGCATGGTCTGAGACCCTGTTTGCTCTGCCTTGTGTGCAAGGGGCTGTTTGAGTCCCAGCCGTCCTAGGGCCCTTGGGGATTTGGCCCCCTTGTTATGACTCTTCCGTACCATCCTGTTCCTCTGGCCTGGTCGTTGGGTGTATACACCTGAGCCAGCGTGAGACTGGGGTTGCCGGGGGCTGTTCTCAAGGCTCCCTCCACCCTGAGCTATGCACTTAGTAGGAGCCTTTCCCTGTTGTTGACTGGTGGTTGAAGAAAGTTGAAAGAGACTTAACATGCTCCTTGGACAAGCATCTGGGTGAGGCTACGTGCCTTGTGATAAGCCAAAACTACAGAGCTGGACGGGTTCCTGTGCCTGGGGCTGGCGGTGGCGTGTGTGGACAGACATGGGAACAGTCCAGGGCCGCCGGGACTGTGCTGGAGCGGTCGTGGGACTGAGTCATGGGGGCACGTGAGAAGGGGGCCGTTGGGCAAATGAAGAGTAGCAGCAGGGGTGATGGAAACCGTGGGTTCTGGTGGTGATTCCCCACCTTCTCCCTTGCCAGACATGGCATGTGCCCTTTTAGGTCACGGATGATGAAGATCTTAAACTGCAGGTTATGGCAGGTGAATCTGGGAGGTCTTTCTAGAGGAGAATGATGGATCCAGAAGGACTCAATCCCATTCCATGGTGAAAGCCTTGCAGACACGTTCATCCTTCCGTGCTCCTTTGCTGTGCCTTGGATGGAGGCAGAACCGGCCAGGCCTCCCAGGCATTTTGCTGGGGTCGGACGGCCTGCGTTCAGATCCCGGATTTGTGGTCTTGGTCATTCTCGTGCGCCTTGACATGTCTGTCTGCCAAAGTTGGGGTAATGCCCCCACCCCGCCCAAGAGTTGCTGCGAAACTGAAATTGACAGTCCATGTAAATTGCTTAGCTCAACTGCATGGATATCAGTCCTCTCCATCTCCAGGGGTTCAGACAGTTGCTGGGGGGCCCGCCGCTCTAGAAACAGCACCCTGAGCTGGTCTTCCCTTCCTCTCTCTGCAGACAACGGAGATGAGCACGCTGAGGGAGGTCTGGTTGAGAACCACGTGGACGGGACCGTGAACCTGTTGGGCGGTGGAGGCAGTGCTGGTAGGAAGCCCCTCAAGTCAGGCATGAAGGAGCTGGCCGTGTTCCGGGAGAAGGTCACCGAGCAGCACCGGCAGATGGGGAAGGGTGGCAAACATCACCTTGGCCTGGATGAGCCCAAGAAGCTGCGGCCACCACCTGGCAGGGTCAGAGGGGCCGGGTCTGGCTGGAGGGGCGGGAGGACGTGTAAAAGGGGTCTCACGGTGGGGGAGGGCACCCAGTACCGTCCGAGTCCTGTGTTGCCGAAGGCAAACCACTTTCCTTTCTGGTTCTGCCACTAACATATTCAGTGACCTTCAGACTGATCACTGTCTCCTTTGGGGGCCTCAGTATTTCTGGCTGTGCAAGGGACTGGGCATACGGTTTCTTGAAGTCCCTTCCTTCTGAAACCTCCAAGCTTCTGCTTGGCAAGGAAGTGGATGCTAGAGATGAGGCCGGACCTCCTTAGACTTGCTCAGTCTCGCTGGGATATGCCCTTCCCTCTCCCCAGCTCAGCTCTGTTGTCTTGGGTCTTGGCCTGGCTGGGTTGATGGAAAGAAATGGTGGTTGGCCCACTGGGTTGGAGTAGAGATGCTCTAGAGACAGCCACTTGAATTCACGTTTTGCAAGTAGATCCCATTTTGATCCCTGAAAGCCACTGACACAGACCGAGAGAGGGGTGAAAACTCCTATCCACGTGACTTTCTTCAGAGAGTGGAGTGGGGCACAATGACATATCCATGAGGTCGCTGTCGGAAGTCCCTGGTTCCACCAACTTGCTGGGTGACCTTGGGAAAATCCCTTCCCTGTGCATGAACTTCTTTCTGAGGTTGTTCCCAGGACCGGTGTTTTGTGAGCTCAGTCTCACTCCGAGCTCCCTCTTTGCCCCTCTGTGTCTGTCTGTGCCCACAGACCCCCTGCCAGCAGGAATTGGACCAGGTCCTGGAGCGGATCTCCACCATGCACCTTCCAGATGAGCGGGGCCCCCTGGAGCACCTCTACTCCTTGCACATCCCCAACTGTGACAAGCACGGCCTGTATAACCTCAAACAGGTGAGAGAGGATCTCCTTGGCCTTGGGCCCCGGGTGTGCTTGTCCCTGCCCCACCCACCCGTCATCCTCTGAGGTCTGAATGCTGAGGGGGCGTGGGGATGCCAGCTGCCAGGCCTCTGCACCTCCAGACGCAGAGGCTGACTCCACCTACCCAGCCACCTGCCATCAGCACTTGGGGTCCAGGTTGGGAGGGAGCCTCTGGGAAAAGAGATGTCGGGCTACCCTAATGCCTGTCAACTTATTATTGAGCATTAGAGTCGCCTGGCAGTGACTCCTGGGCCTTACCATTCCAGAAAGTTGGGTGGGGACCAAAAACAGTTTTTTTTTTATGTTTATTCATTTTTAAGAGAGAGAGAGACAGAGACAGAAACAGAAACAGAGCATGAACAGTGGAGGGGCAGAGAGAGAGGGAGACAGAGAATCTGAAGCAGGCTCCAGGCTCTAAGTTGTCAGCACAGAGCCAGACGCGGGGCTTGAACCCCAAGAACCACAAGATCATGCCCTGAGTCAAAGTTGGGTGCTTAATTGACTGAGCCACCCAAGCACGCCAAGGATTTGCATTTCTAATAAACTCTCAGGGATTGCTGATGATCCGTGAGCTATACTTGCAGAATCACGGATTTAAACCATTGACAAGTAGTCTCTGCTGACCCCTAAGGGGTCTCACTCCCCCACTTTCCTCACAGCCCAGGCAGGCATCCTGCCCCCTCTAAATATCAGTGTAGTATTCAAAGCTATTTGTACACGTGCCCTCGAAATGTCAGCTGACTACTTCATTTGGAGATCAAAAGTGGAAATAGTGATCTCTTCTAATGAAAGACAGGCTGTGGCTGGTCCCTCATGGGTAACTAAAGGGGTTTTCAATGGTAATTAGTTTATGGGTAAGAGCAGGGACCCTGGGACAGGAATGCCTGGGTTCTTATCTCAGCCACGCCTCTTACTAGCTGTGTGACGTTGGGCAAGTTACTTAACCTGTCTGTGCTTCCTTCTGATCATCTGTAAAGTGGTGAAATAATGGCACCTAACTCACAAGGTGGCTGTGCTGACTCGGTGTGAGGAGTGAGCGACTCCTGATCTGAGGGTCATGAGTACGAGCCCCACGATGGGGGTAGAGATCACTTAAATAAATACGCTTTTAAAAAAAAGCGTTGTAAACTGTAAATGAGCAGTGTGTAGACTGTTCTCACGGTGCAAAGCACCTGCTAGGGGCCTGTGCTAGTGCTGACTTCTACTGTCACGTGCTGTTTTCCCTTCACGCTATGACTGAACTCCAGTCCGCTGGGCCCCCACTGGATGGTCCCCCCTCCTGCCGGTGGGCACTGAGTCGTTTCGATGTGGGGCATCCCCCACTAGCGTGGTCCCTGGGCCAGAGCACCAGCATCACGCGGGAGCCAGACAGAGTCTTAGCCCCGCTCCGGGCCTCCTGAAGGGGAATCTGCATTTCAGGGAGGTCCCCTGGCACCCTTCACGGCCGAGAAGACCACCACGCGGCACCCTAGCTTGGGCGCCCCGTAGCTGCTCGGCAAACCTCGGGCTGAGGAAAGCAGGGAAAGCTGGTGGCCTCAGGCCTGTCCTCCATACCCTTCTCTTCTCCCTCCTCAGTGCAAGATGTCTCTGAACGGGCAGCGTGGGGAGTGCTGGTGTGTGAACCCCAACACTGGGAAGCTGATCCAGGGAGCCCCCACCATCCGGGGGGACCCCGAGTGTCATCTCTTCTACAATGAGCAGCAGGAGGCTCGTGGGGTACATACCCAGCGGATGCAGTAAACCACAGCCAGCCGGTGCCTGGCACCCCCCGCTCCCGCCCCCTCTCCAAACACGGGCAGAGAGAGGAGAGCCTTGCGTGGTGGGCGGGGAGGGTTTTCCAGGAGTGTTGACACGTGTATTTATATTTGGAAAGAGACCAGCACCGAGCTCGGCACACCCCCGCCTTCCCCCTCCCCAGATGCCTGCACCACCCCCCCCCCTTCTCCTGTCCCTGCTGGGGAGGAAGGGGCAGTTGCAGTGGTGGAGCTGGGGTGAAGATTTGGGGGGGGGGGGAAAGAAATTTTTATTTTTGAACCCCCGTGTCTCTTTTGCTTAAGATTAAAGGAAGGAAAAATAAAGTTGTGTGTCTTTTGCCTGAGTCTTTGGGGGGCTTCCCGGGGAAAGCGATCTGGCGCTGGCTGGCCTCGTCTGTCTACCTCTGTCCCCGACTCCTGGGAGTAGGGGCTGGGAGTGAGTGGGACAGGCACAGCCTTGGCTGGGCTGGGAATGAGAAGGATGGGTCAGGAGGCAGGGGAATCTCCTCCCTCAAGTGGCCTATGGAAACTTAAAGTCTTCAGTCCAGGTGGACCCTTCCAGTGCGGCCACAGGACTCTGGTGTCTCCCCTGGACTGCCAGCTCAGCCTCTGGCCCCCAAGCTGCCCCTGGGTGGGCAGTGAGGGAGGAGCGGTCGAGCGAGTGTCTTTCTCTCTCCCATGTTCAGTCTCACGTTCAGGTGGTGTTGCAGAGGGCGACAGAACAGGGAGAGACACTGGATCTGAGGCCCTCTGGCCCCTGAAGTAAGGACAGCTCCCTTCTGGGCAGGGGGAGATGACCCCCAGGTCCCCAAGGAAAGGGAGCGGGTTATTGTATGCCAGCGTGTTCACCAAGGTGCTGCCTCTGGGAATTCAGGTGCTGTTCTCCAAGGGGCCCAAGTAACTCTTCGGCTTCCAGAACAGCAGTGTTCACAAGACTACACGTGCACCGATGAGCACCTGTTTCTGAAGCAAAATTCTATGAGAGTTCTACCCACTGTTCTGGGGGCCCCTGACCCCTGGCGAGTTGCAGGGGCCTCTGCACTTGGCAGTGGGCCACAGGGAAAGGAGTGCCCCCCTCTCTCCCCTCCCTAGCACCGGGCACAGAGCCCCACCTTTCCTGCTAGTCCCTTTTTTGTGTCTGGAGTCGGACACTTTCCTGCCACAGGAGGTGAGGGAAAGTGGTTTTGTTCGACCATCTCCCTCCTGTCCTTCCTTCTATCGACTCAGGAGAGGCAAAAAGGCACTTGGGGCCTTTAAGGGGGTGAGACTTGCTTCTCCCCTTAGAAGGAAACCAGGTCCCCCAAAGCAGATAAATCCTGGCCAGAGTGCTCTAGGCTGCATCAGGCCAAGGCCAAGGCCTGCAGGCCGTTTGGTCATTTGGGCCATGTGCTCTGCTGCTCCAAAACTGAGTTAATTCTGTCAATCCTCATGAATCTATCAACGAGGAACTATTAGGCCCACTCTACAGATGAAGAAAAAACCCACAGAGGTGTCCAACCTCCAAGGCCCAGGCTGGGGTTCCAAATTCCAGAGTGCTGAGGCTGCTCAGCTCGGAGTTACGCTCCCCTCTCGGGGGCGGAAGCAGGGCGGGGCTGCCTGGAGGGAGCCCAGGGCACTCTTGGCGCGGGCTGGGTCTGTACCCTGTGGGCCAGCCATCCTGGTTTGGGGTCTGATTTTCCTTCGTCCACGGGTGGGTGCTCTGGCCGCCCACCCCTCGGCTGCAGCTGCTGTCCTGGGATGGGGCAGCGGGTGCTGGCTCTCCCTGCAGGTGCAGGCGGTCTCGACCCCGGCTAACATTCGAATCTACCGGGGCGCTTAAAAAAACATGCATGTCAGCATCCCACCGTCAGAGATTCTGATTTAATTGGCCTGGAGTGGAGCCCAGGTAGGGTTTTCCTTCCTTCCTTCCTTCCTTCCTTCCTTCCTTCCTTCCTTCCTCTTTCTTTCTTTCTTTCTTTCTCTCTTTTTCCTTTCTCTCTTTCTTTCTCTTTCCTTTCTCTTTCTCTTTTTCTTTTTCTCTCTCTTCTTCCTTCCTTCCTTTTTCTTTTCTTTTCTTTTTCTTCTTTTTCCCAGGCAATTCTAATGAAGAGCTGGGCAAAAAGAAAGCTGGAGTCAGGACACCTGGGTTTGAATCCTGTCCCACCACTTACTGTTTTATTGCCCTGGAGCTACTCGCCTCCTCTGAGACTCAAGTTTTCTGCATCTCATGGGGATGATCTCAGCCTCAAATAACTGGGTGGTAGCAATGTGAGACCATGGATGTGAAAACCATATAAATTGGGGTGGATTATGAAGGGGCCATCGCTGGAGTTAACGCTCACGCCAGACCCCCTCCCCTGCCCCCGCCCCCGCCATACCCCAAGGCTGCCGACTCGGGCCCTTTCTGTAGTATTTTTGCAGAGTGCTCATTTCCACGTCACTTGCTCACAGCCTCCCTGTGCTCTAAACCCTCTGAAGAGGATTTTATGGGTGAGCCACACCCCCACTGTGGCTCTAGCTACAGGAACCCCCTGATGGATGGATGGATAGTATGCCCTAGAAACCTTTGCTGAGGGAAAGTATAATTGCTCCCAAGTGGGAAGATGGCTGGGAGGAGTTGGGGGGGAGGGATCTTGAGGATTGCAAGCTGGTTGCTCACCTCCTGGAACTCCTGGGCTGTTGACAAACACTGGGGCTATACTGCCACCGTGGGGGCAGCACAGGAAACTGCTGCTGGGTTTCGGAGGGTGATTTTGCTTAAGCGGTGGTCCCAGGAGTCCATTTGGGAGCTTGGGTGCTTGTTAACCTCGCAGAAACAGGGGGACCCATTGTCGAAGACCGCCTGAGCTAGAAGCCTGGGAAGGGATCTGGGAATCTGCATTGAAACACGCCCCCTGGGCGATTCTAATTCATAGAGTCACCTAGTTTCTCGGTGACCTAATTTGTACAATTTGGGGCAGATTCAGAGCCCCTGGTTTAGAAATTATTAAGAATTTCAAGGGGCGCCTGGGTGGCTCAGTTGGTTAAGCGTCTGCCTTGGGCTCGGGTCATGATCTTGCGGTTCGTGAGTTCGAGCCCTGCGTCGGATTCTCTGTTGTCAACACAGAGCCCGCTTTTCGGATCCTCTGTCTCCCTCTCTTTCTGCCCCTCCCCTGCATGTTCTCTCTCTCCCTCTCTGTCTCTCTGAAAAATAAACATTTGAAAAAACAGAATTTCAAGACAGTTATGGCAGAGGATCAAGCCAGGCCCAGGCCCTGTGTGACCACACAGCCTTCGTGCCTGGGAAGCTGGCCTTGTTGTTAAGCCCTCTGAATCTGGACGGCCACTGCTGTAGAGACTGGACCGGCTCCATAGGATGTGGTGGGTGAGAGCGCCCCCGGGGGGTGAGGCAGTTTTTGAACGGAATTTGGACTCTACCACTTATGACATACGGGACTTTGGACACATTCCTAACCTCTGAGCTTTATTTATTTCCCTTTTAAATACTGGGATGATTTCTTTTTCAAAGAATTGTTTTGAGAATATAAAATCATTTCTGTCATATAGGAAGTGCGGCTGACGTGTAGTTAGTGCTGCATCCTGGGCTCAGGGTTAGGGTTCTCGGAGGTGAAGATGAGACAGATTACGGCCCCTGTCCCTAAGGGTTGACACTGCAGTGGATGGAAACAACCACAGGAGTCTGTGACGTCCATGGGAGGGACAGAGGTGTGCCCGAGTGCATTTGGGAGGAATGTATGTCCCACAGGAACAGTTGTAAGGAGGTAGGAGTTTCAGAGGAAGATGTGGTGTGTGTGTGGGGGGGGGTGTTCAGCCGAGAGAATAGCATGAGCTACGTGGAGGCTTGAGGCTCCCTGTGGTCAAGAGAGGGTGTAGATACAGGAGCAGCTGGGGAGGAAGTCAGAGGAGAGCTCGTCAGGAAGGATTTTGGGGGTCTTGCTGAGGGATTTCAGCTTTGGACTGAAAGGAAAGTGTTTAAGCAGAGGATGGGCATGACTGGATGTGTGATTTTTTTTTTTTTAATTTTTTATTTGAGAGAGAGACAGAGAAGAGAGTGCAGGGGAGAGGGGCAGAGGGAGAGAGAGAGAGAGAGTCTCAAGCAGGCTCAGGGTGGAGCTCGACGTGGGGCTTGATCTCATGAACTTGGGCTCATAACCTGAGCCGAAATCAAGAGTCAGATGCTCAACCGACTGAGCCACCCAGACGCCCCAGATTTGAGAGTTTTCGATGAGGTAGCCAATTCCTGGGACGTGGGGACGTAGGAGGTGAATGAGGAGTCAGCAATGACACTGGGGGTCAGGCTAAGGCAACTGGGTAGATGGCGGTACCATTCTCTGGGACAGCAGCCGGAAAGGGAGGAAGGATTTGGGGAGGAGGAGAGGGTGGTTTAGGAGGGAACGTGATGAGTTCAAATGGCGTTCTTGTTCTTGAACTTGCAGTGTGTAAGGTGTAAGATAAAATAAGATGGGCAAGGTACCTGAGCGTACAGGATGAATTCGATTTTGGGCACACTGTATTGGAGCTGCCCGGAGTGCCAAGAAGACTCTCTTGACTTTCCCATCACCCTCATCTTGACATCCAATTCATGAACAAGACCCATTGGGTTCTATCCACAAGACACTGTTCATATGTGCCCCTTTTGCTCCTTCTCCACCGTCACCTCCACGGCAGGAGAGGGGTGGTTAATGGCGAAGGATGGGAGCCGCAGGTGTGCAGGGCACAGGAAGGCGGCTGTCCTTTGGAAGCAAGAAGAAGGGTTCAGGAGGGAGGGGAATGGGGCGGTGGCTTTCTGGCTAACTCCACGGGGGTTTGGATGCGAAGGTAAGACATTCTCACAGGCTGGTCTTGCTTTTCTCTGATGGCGAGCAGGGGGTACGGAGAGGAGCACGAAAGGGTGTTGTAGACACGGGGGAGCGTGGGAGGGAGGCAAGGCTAGCAGGATTTGGAGCCTGGGGATTCTGTGGTGATGCCAGCCCACACCGCGGAGGGACCTTCTCCAGCTGGGCTCAG